GAGGGGGGGAGAGGAGGGGTGCATCATCCATCTAAAAGGACAACATCGCAAACTGAGAGCGAGAGACAGAGACAGAGAGAGAGAGAGAGAGAGAGAGAGAGAGAGAGAGAGAGAGAGAGAGAGAGACCCAGAGAGAGCAAACAGAGAGAGCAGACAAAGAGAGCAGACAGAGACGGACAGACTGAGAGAGAAAGAGAGAGAGAGAGAGAGAGAGAGAGAGAGAGAGAGAGAGAGAGAAAGAGAAACAAGCCCTAAATCCCTCAACCCCTAAATCCCAAAACCCCAGGACCCCCGCATCCCCAAACCCTAAACCCGCGAAACCCTAAACTGAAAAAACCCTTCAACCCCAAACCCCTGAACTCCCGAAACCCTAAGCCCCTCAACCCCTAAGCCCTCCTTCTCCCTCTCACTCTCTTCCTCTCTTCCTTTCTGTCTCTCCTTCTCCCTCTTCCCCTCTCACTCTCTTCCTCTCTTTCCTCTCTTTCCTCTCTTCCCTCTCTTCCCTCTCTTTCCTCCTCTTTCTTCTCTTTCCTCTCTTTCCTCTCTTTCCTCTCTTTCCTCTCTTTCCTCTCTTTCCTCTCTTTCCTCTCTTTCCTCTCTTTCCTCTCTTTCCTCTCTTTCCTCTCTTTCCTCTCTTTCCTCTCTTTCCTCTCTTCCTCTCTTCCTCTCTTCCTCTCTTTACTCTCTTTCCTCTCGTTCCTCTCTTTCCTCTTTTCCCTCTCTTTGCCTCTCTTCCTCTCTTCATACCTCTTACTCTCTTCCTCTCTTTTATCCTCTTCTTCTTATGCCTCTCTCTCTCTCTCCCTCTCCCTCTCCCTCTCCCTCTCCCTCTCCCTCTCCCTCTCCCTCCCTCTCCCCCTCTCCCTCTCCCTCTCTCCCTCTCCCCCTCCCCCTCCCCCTCCCTCTCCCTCTCCCTCTCCCTCTCCCTCTCCCTCTCCCTCTCTCCCCCTCCCTCTCCCCCTCTGCCTCTCCCTCTCCTTCTAGGAAGTCCGATTGTAAGTGAGTTTTGGGAGGCTTGAAGTTTATGTCTAGACACCGCAGCTTCATTCAGGCGCAATATGTCCCCTGTGGGTCGACGGTACTCGTTGCCCGCAGCGGAAATTCTAAGGAGTTGCATGGCCTTCTCTACGCTGTGGCCTTCGGGGATGAGCCAGACGCGGCTTGCCTGAGATGGAGAGTTCCCGGAACCTGTGTTTGTAGAGACAGCGCATTATAAGACATATATACATATATACATATATACATACATACATATATACATATATACATATTTACATATTTACATATTTACATATTTACATATTTACATATTTACATATTTACATATTTACATATTTACATATTTACATATTTACATATTTACATATTTACATATTTACACATTTACATATTTTACACATATACATATGTACATATATACATATATACATATATACATATACATATATACATATGTATATATGTGTGTGTGTGTGTGTGTCTTCTCTCTCTCTCTCCTTACCTATGTCTTAGTAGCATGTTTATCGATTTGTTTCCAAGAAACCTTCTCCTCTTGCCACCGATACCTTGTCTTGTGGGCTCAGGCACTGATGCTGATTAGCACAGCTGGGGATGATCCTCCTGGCGCGACGTCAGCGCAGAAGGAGAAGAAGGTCCTCTCACCAAAGAGTCGTCCTTTCGGCATTGGGGGTTTTCCGAAATTCGGGGGTACGTTGATTGGGGTGCTTTTTCTGAGGGAATCCTACTAGTCGGGGGTCCATATCAAGGGTCCCGTGTTTTTGTGTAAACTCCCGTATAGGTTTCTCAAGAAGTAGAGGCAGAGAGAGGGGTATGAGGTAAGGTGCTAGGCAAGAGTTCTGCAGAAACACCTGCAAGTCACCGACCCTGGAGCGACCCCCGCCCTGAATCCACTGCAACAACCCTGGAGCCCTGAACTCTGAACCCTGAACCCTAAAACCCCTAAACCCTGATCGCTAAACCCTAAAAAAAACCTGACCTGTATCCACTGCAACGAGGCCGAGCTGGACGCAAAGGACCTCCAGACCAACGAGATGTGCCATACTCGTGCTGCAACAGATTACACTTGGCGCAGAGAAACCGCATTCTGCCGCCGTTTTGTAGCAAGCCCGGGCGCATGTACCCTAAGCCCTAAACCCTAAACTCTAAACCCTAAACCCTAAACCCTAAACCCAGCGTTGCGAAGACATGTGCTCACTACGGTGGGAGAGAACGTGAGGTTCTCGTGTGAAGGGCTGCAGGGAGCCTGTAAGGAAGCTTGGGGATGCAGACTAAACCCTAAACCCTAAACCCTAAACCCTAAACCCTAAACCCTAAACCCTAAACCCTAAACGGAGCAGGACCAACACGGGCGAACCGCCCTCCACTGCGCCGCCTCGCGGGGATCCGAAGCCATCGCCAAGATGCTCCTGGACAGTTCAGGGTAGACGTACTCAAGTAGGGAAATAGGGTTTAGGGCTTAGGGTTTAGGATTTGGAGGTTCATGGGTACTTCTAAGTAGGGTTACAAGTACCTCAAAAATGGGTTGTAAGTGATAAGGATGTTACCATACTTGTAACACTACTTAAGACTACCCTGAACCTGCAAGTCGTTCCTGGTTGTGACCAGGGGAGGAGTAGTGGGGCACCTGTCAGCTGGGGCATAAGGCCAGGCTGTCTTGGGTCCTTTCTTGGAGACCCTGATGTCACCTGAACAGCTTTAGGGGCTGCTGTGAAAACCCTAAACATCCCTAAGCCCTAAGCCCTAAGCCCTAAGCCCTAAACCCTAAACCCTAAACCCTAACTTGGTCAGCCCAGGCTGCTGGAAAAGCAAAGCCGTACTTGGGGGTTCATGGGTGGTTAGAAGTAGGGTTCTGAGTGTGTGTGGTAACTATCCTTATACCCCTTTCTGGGGCACCATTAACCCTACTTATTATAGTGACGCATGAACCTCCAAGTAAGTTGAAGTTGTTGAACTTCAAATCCCTCTGTGCTCGCCCATGCCGGGTTGAGGCTTGTTTTCCCCAGCATGATCGACCACGGAAGTAGGCGCAGACATACTACACACTTTAGAAAGTTCTTGGAAAGGACATGCTTCCTGATTTTAGTTGAGCTCAGGCGTGGAATCCATACCCCATGCCCTGAAGCCTTGCAAGCTGCAAAAACCTTGCGAGGATCACTCGAACTTTGTGTACTACATTGACGCGCCCGACCGATACCTTCGCACAGTAACCTTGCAGCAGCTACACCCAAGAAACCAAGCAAGGGCTCAGGTTTCCGGGGTTTAGGGTTTAGGGTGTAGGGTTTAGGGATGATCAGAGCCGAGCTTCTGGTTTGCTTTGTGCAGCTTCGTGGTTCTGATGCTTCGGGCTTGGCCCGGAGTCGAGGGTTCTCCCGGAGCGCACCTAGGCGTTGCACATGGCCGCTCGTGCGGGCCATACCCCGGTATGCCAGCTCCTGCTCGACCACAGACTCTCGGACGGCTCCGGGGATCACTTCGCTGAGCCAGGTCTAGGGTTTAGGGTTCCCTAAACCCTAAACCCTCGAAACCCTAAACGGTTTAGGGTTTAGGGTTCCCTAAACCCTAAACCCAAAACCCTCGGTAACCCTAAACCCTAAACCATAAAACCCTCGAAACCCTAAACCCTTTTAAACCCTCACTTCGGACTTCGTTGTGCTTCAGGGAGGCAGGCGGCAAGCCTTATAGGCTCAGGAAGCTATGGCCTGTAAGCCATCCTAGGCGAGGCCGCAGGGACGGAGCCTCGACTACCCTTCACGATGCGACATGAACCTCCACCCCCAGAGCCAACTTTGTGCATTCGTTCTTAAAATCCTTAATTTAAACTCGCAATTTAAGATCGTGATGCCAATAATACGGAGCCTAAACCCCAAGGACTCTTCACGGCGGTGAATGCGGTGGACTGTGACGGGCAAACTGCCCTCCATCATGCGGCAGCTGCCGGCCACCACGATGCCACCGGGGCTTTGCTAAGAACCTTACTGTTGGGCTAGCAGGGACAGGGAATTAGGGCCCTATATATAACACATATATTATATATACAAATAAATAAATACATAAATAAATAAATAAATATATATATATATATATATATATATATATGTATGTATTTCCTTTCAGGGATTTTAGGTAGGGTACCTCATTCCCCCATTCCCTACTAACCAACAGTAAGATGCCACGAGCCCAAAGGCTTCAGCACTGCCTGAGCACCATAAGGCCCCTACTGAAGGTGGATACCCTAAACCCCAAACCCTGAACCCAAAACCCTCTCAGGTTTGCCAAGTGCTCATGTCTCACGAGTCCTTCACTGCGGTCGATGCCGTCGACGTTTTCGGGCGCACCGCGCTGCATCACGCGGGCCGGGGAGGCAGGAACGGCTTAGGGTTTAGGGTTTAGGGTTTACGGCTTCTTGAGTGCTGCTTGTGAACAGGCCGAAGGGCGGTTTCCGTGCACGTGCGGGCATGGGGTTTCTAGTGACAATAAAGTGGTTGCCGTCTTGTTCCCGAAACCCTAAACCCCAAAAAAAATTCGGCCCTAAAGCCTAAACCCTAAACCCTAGACCCAAAAAACCCGAACCCCTAAGCCCTAAACCCTATCCATTCAGGTTGACCAAGCCCGAAAGCTCCACCCCCCTGTGCGATTGCCAGGGCACGCGCCGGTGGCGAGCGTCCTCCTGGCTGAGGCCCCCTTTTCGGTTCAGGGTTTAGGGTTTAGGGTTTAAGTTTTGGGCTTAGGCCCGGGAACTTTTGCGGCGTTTGGCTTATTAGTGACGTAGTGAATTCCCGATGAGGCAGACGTCAGCACCGCGTCCTGGCTTGCAGTGGAGCATGTGCATGCCCACGATTCAGGAGCCGCTACTTTTGTGCTAAGTCTTCTTAGTGTTATTCTGATGGTGCTTGGGAAAATGGCTCCCTTTACTCTGATGACTTGTGTGATTCTGGCCTTTCACAATCACCTGTGGAAATTCAGCAGCGAGCAGCTCTGAGGTGTGGGCGGCGGTCTCTCGGCTGCGTTTGAGCGCGACGCCTGCAACCACAGAACGCCCTGGAAAGTCCTGACATCTCACCCCCCCACCCCCCCCCCCCCCCCCCCCCCCCCCCCGGGGTTTAGGGTTTAGGGTTTCGGGTTTCGGGTTTGGGGTTTAAGGTCCGCTAACACCAGATCTGGTCTGCATCGAAAGATCCACGCCCTGCCCCAGAAGACCATGCTTTGCGGCACATGCCGGCAGTTCAGACTCCAGGCACGGCAGGTGGGTAACACAATCCCACCACCGAAAATCCCGAAACCCCCTGGACCCTAAACCCTAAACCCTAAACCCTAAACCCTACTAAACCTCAGTGAGGACTGCGATCACCTTACGGCACTGCACGCCGCCGCCTTCCGGGGCCACACGGAGTGCTGTGAAACGACGCGCGGCTGGACACCTTGAAGCCCTCAAAGCCGATGGGTTTGGGGTTTAGGGTTTAGGGTTCAGGGTTCAGGGTTCAGGATTTAGGGTTCAGGCTTTGTAGGATTTAGGGCTGGGGTCAAAGGGTTTAGGGTTCTCAAACCCTGTAGTGGGCTGTTGCGGCTGGATTTTTCGTGTGGGTATCCCCTGTTAGAGCACCGGGCTTAAAGGTGCTAATTACATAAAGCACTAAAGAACAGAACCCTGGAACCTTAAAACCCGGGCTAGGTAAGGTGGAAACTCCTGCTGGTCCTTGCATGGACTGGCGTGTCGTTTAATGAACAAGTTGTCTAGTCTTCATACTTGGAGGTTCATGGGCCGTTATAAGTAGGGTTATAAGTATGGCAACTATCCTTACAACCCTTTTTGGGGATACTTGTAACTTTATAACCCTACTTCTAGTTACCCATGAACCTCCAAGTAGAGTGTTTCTGGGCCCTGAGGTGGAACTGATGATTGAGCTGCATATGTGCGTGTTCCAGAACAGAACCTGAAGTTGTGATGGTCAGATACTACACATGTTCTCAGCACATTTCTTGTGTGATCTTTTTACCCTAAGCCCCACGTAGGCCCTCAACCCTAAACCCTAAATCAAGGAGACTTGTAAAGGGGCTCGATGGTCTCACGGTGTTTCTGTAAATAAGTGCAGACGGAACTTCCTTGCTGAACTTCCTTGCTGAAGACACTTTTTTTATCTTCGCTCATCTTAGAAGCTTTATAACTCCCCAAGTCCTGAAAGCCTACGCCCGAACTTCCCAAAGGCTGGAATCGCTAGAACGTTCATGAATGCTCCCGAAGAACCAGACAGCCGAGGCTGCTGCAACATCCCAGCTTGGAGCAGATCTGCAAGGCCCCGCAGCGTTTCCTTGCCCTTAGCAAGTTTATGGAGAACATCGCTCACTCTCAGGATTTTTCCTTGGACCCCTAAGGTTGTACCCTTGGGTTGGGACCCTTTTTAAAGATCCTCTAAGGGAATGTAAGGGCCATATTAGTGGTGTACTCTTTAGGCATACACGCTTCGGGTTCAAGTTTGACTCCCTTGGCACTCGGTATTTTGCCTAAACCCTTGGGGCCCCTGGGTGTCCTTTGAACAGCAAAGTTCGCTTCTCAGGTTCGTATGGTCGGTTTTGGGGGGGTGCTGAGACCCTGAAACTAAGAGAAACTTGAGGGACTCTCTTGCAAGAGGTGCCCCCCCGCAAGGGACCATCGTCTAAGAGAGCTGATGGCAATACCTACTTAAGAAACTCAAGCTCCGGGAACTATGTGCCCCGCGGGCCTTCTCTAAGCTGGAAGGCTTGAGGTGTTAAGCCCCTGAAGTGGCAAGGCCCATGAGCCGTAACCATCATGAACTTTGCTTTGTCTGAGAGTTTGGGATGTAGGGAGCCACGTAAAGCTCGAACAAGCTCGACGCTGAGGGTTGAGGGTTTTGGAGCTTAGCTCCTCAAACTCAAGCTCCTGAGAAGCCCTAAGCCATCCAGAACTCGACACCCCGAGTGCCCCAGGGAGTTGAGGGTTTAGGGATTGGTAGGTTTAGTATGAGAGAGAGGGTTGAGGAGGGCTTTTGGGAATTACCTTTGAAACATGTGTGGAACCCGGAAAGGCTGGCATCCTGGACATCAGCTCACTCCGGCATGCCCGCGAGGCCAGAAAATCAACCGGGTAGTTCTCTAAATTAGGGTCCCTTTTTTGGAGTCGGCACGTCACCCGTTTTAACAAAGAACACCGAAAAATCCCGACTTTGAGTACTGCCCAATAGAATTTGATGGAATGAAGGTCCTTTTTCTCAAGGGTTCATTGTCCGGCTGTTTCGACGTGTCGGCACAAGGATGTTCCCACAGTCGGAGCTTAACAGTGGCTTGCAACTGCAAGGCAGCAGGCTCACATGTTGCGGTTGTCAAAATCAGGTTCCCTTTTTGGATCCCTATTATAATACGGCACCTGATATTTAGGGTTCCCCAAAAAGGATCATAATGTTGACAACCAACCACAATTTGTGGTTAAACGGTGCGGGGATTTCAGGGTCCAGCCTGGCTGCAGAGTCGTCAAATCACGCTGGTTACAAGCTTTGCGTGGGATCTGCGTTTCTGAGGTGTTGGTTGCCCATGCAGCCCCCTTGCCCGTCAGCAAATCTCCAAAGCCTATCTGTTTCCCGAAATACGGGTGCTCCTCATAACACCCCCCTCAAAAAAACGATCATCCTTAGAATAGGAAACCCCGGAATAGGCACCCTAAACCCCAAACCTGAGTGAAGTATGTGATCTCTCCTTTCTTCCATTCTCTCTTTACACTCTCAGCGGACGTATTGCATCCCTGCAGTGCGGTTGCGAGGCTGCTAGGCAGGTGGCACAAAAGACCCGCCCTATTTTTTTTAAGTGAGAGCTGAAGCCCACAACCTTCCGAAACTGAGCTACTTCAGCTTCGCCAGGACGTCTTCGCCATCATTCAGGCAGCTCTGGAGAAGGCAGGCGTTGCTAAGGGTTTAGGGCTTAGGGCTCAGGGCTTCGGGTTTCATAGGAAGGGTGCCTGTCTTACGCAGACAGAGTCTGGGTTCAAAATGACGTCAATGTGCAGGACTCGGACCGAAGCAGTTGCCCACACTCAAAGACTTTGAGCTTTGTTCTTTCGCCTTTGCACCCCTGGCTACTCGCAAGCCCTCTCGCCTGCCCTTGGCAAAATCGGACCACCAGACCAATCGGCCGGCAGCAACATCAAACCGGCAGAATCTTCGACCGAAGCCCCAAGGAAGAAGCCCTCAAGAACCTGTAATCCGAGAAGCGACCATGCTAAATATTTAGTTGAAATATTAAATACCCAATAATCTGTATATCTATTTGTTTGATTTGAAAATAATCTAACTTTTAATGTAAAAAATACTGCAGAGAATCCAACTGAACAAGTATTCATATAATTTGAATACATATTGTTATCTAATATTATTGAAAATATGATGTGTAATATTGATGAACCAATTACTGATACAATTATAATCATTAAATATTTTACTGATCCAATTTGTTGTTCTAATTCTTTACCTTTCCATAATAACGATGCCATTTTCCAATATAAATGCCATGAACCTGTTTTGGGCCCTACTTTGAGCAGTGCAGGAAGTTTTTGACCACTCCGCCAAATCTGATCACTGAGGCCCTTCTACTAAAACCTAAACCCTCTATCCCAGATGAAGCTTAAAGCTTAACACTTTGTGGCAGTTTTCTCAACAAGTCTCCCATGTTGCAGAGGGTTCCTGTTGAACTAACGGCGCGTTGTACTTCGGGTTATAAGAACTTTTGAGCTACAGGCTGGTGGGGTGTCGGGAGAGTCAGTTTTTCTTGTTTGTAGTGTTGCACTATTTGCGCAATTTTCCCTCAATTCTGAGGGCGCCGCGAAACACATGAATAGGATTGAGAAAAATAGAGATACACAGACAGACGGACAAATGTATACATATGTATATGTATATATATATATATACATACATACATGAAATATTGCTGCACATCAATACATATACTTATGTATGTATATGAGTACTCATGTACTTACGCATAAAACCTGTACATTGTACGTATATACATAGATACATAAGAGAAGAGCTATTAAAACACAATGTGATATATATATATATACATATTGTGTACATAAATGTATATGTGTGTGTGGATGTGCATAATCCCATGTATGTATGCATGCAGGAAACTGAGTATTCGCGTCTTGGACCTCAGCGCAGGTGGGCATCGCCATCGAGGCACCCAAGGACGTCGCGGTGCAGGTCGAGGCAGGGTCGAAGTTAGAGTCCCCCACCGCAGAATAGGGTTTATGGTTTAGGGATTAGGGTTTAATGAGGGTTTAGGATTTAAGTTTAGGATCTAGGGTTTCGGGTGGTGGACTTCCCTCAAAAAGTTTACATCTAGCAGGTTAGGGGGGCTGATATTGTTATAATGCCAGCCATGGCTTGAGCACGCGGGTGTACGACACAGGCTCCCTACTGCCTGAAGCCCCAAAGTCCTCAACCCTAACAGGCCCAGAGAAGGGGGCAAAAGGTTGCCTACAAACGGCAAACGCCGAACCCCTGCAGAAGCCTTAAACCTTGAACCAGGTAGAACAAAGTCACCCTCGGTGCGAGTTGCAACGAAAGACGCCCTTCTCCCCTGACCCCTAAAAACTCTAAAGACCCTAAAGACCCTAAAGACCCGAAAACCCCTAAAGCCCCAAAACCCGGAACGCAAAATCCCCAGGTCGAGGCCGAACCAACGGAGGACGGCGAGTTGGACCTGGCCATTGCCGAGGCACCTTGAAACTCCAAAGAAAGGAAGGTGAACCCTCCGCCAGTTTAGGGTTTGGGGTTTAGGGTTTATCCCTATCAAATACCATAACATGCTTAAAATACCATTCATAGTATGCGTAGCAGAAATATCCAAGCTGCCCCAAATACCCTGGCTTTGAATGCCAGGTCGATGTTATAAGGGTTCGGATGAGGGTTTCGGGTGTTCAGGTTTGGTTGTGGCCCAGGCCGAATGTCAGGGCTTAGTGTTGCATATGGCTTACGTATGGGCTTTGGTTCTGGGAGGAGGTTTTTGAAACTTCAAAGTAGGGTCTCTGACGGGATTTAAAACCCTGATCTTTCCTCCACAAGTACTCCGCAAGCATTCGGCCAGCAAAGAGCCATCGCTTGAAAGTCGCACAAAGGTCCCTGAATCTACAGGGGTTTAGGGTTAAGTTACCCATACTTTCCCCTCAGAATGCTTGTATATTTACTCTTCTAAAACGCCCCTATACTTGGGATGTTTACACGATTCCATAACCGTAAACCCTAAACCCTAAACACCAGGGGGAAAAGCTATAATCCGGCTGCGGGTGCTGAACCGTCCGCCTCAAATCCGAGACCCTAAGCTGTTAGGGTTTAGGGTCTCAAGGGACTAAAGGAGGGACCCTTATAAGGGACCTTAGGGGTTACTTATGGGGCTACGTAGGTATATAGAGACTATATAAGGTATATATATGATTCAGCCCCGGCGGGCCCCCCCCCCCTCCCCCCTACCCCCCCCCCCCCCCCCCCCAATGGTACCCCCCCCCCCCCCTGTGGTGTGGTTGGGGGTTGGTTTTAGGGTTTTTTAGGGTTTAGGGTTTAGGGTTTTAGGGTTTTAGGGTTTTAGGGTTTAGGGTTTAGGGTTTACGGTTTAGGGTTTAGGGTTTAGGGTTTAGGGTTTAGGGTTTTCCCCGCGGATGGGGTACTAAGATGATCCCCCCCCCCTGTGGTGTGGTTGGGGGTTGGTTTTAGGGTTAGGGTTTAGGGTTCAAGGGTTTTAGGGTTTAGGGTTTAAGGTTTAAGACTTAAGGTTTAGGGTTTAGGGTTAGGGTTTAGGTTTTAGGGTTTAGGGTTTAGGGTTTACGGTTTAGGGTTTAGGGTTTAGGGTTTAGGGTTTAGGGTTTAGGGTTTAGGGTTTAGGGACCGTAGAGTAGGCTTGGGGGGGGGGGGGATACCATGGGGGGCGGGGGGGCCCAGGACGCTCGACGCTGAACCATATATATATATATACAGGGCTTATATACGGGGAATAAGAAGGGCCCCTTCTAGACCCTTATAGGGTCTAAACTCTTCGGCCATCAACTCGACCCCCTCAACCCTAAACCCTCGGAAAGCAACGGAGCGCTGTGGACTGCTAGCAGAGAGCGCGTGCCAAACCCTAGAACCTAAACCCTAAACCCTGAACCCCCGACGCTGACTTTAAGGGACAGTTCCTGCTCACGCTCCCCCCATCGCCCGACGACCAAGCAGCTTCAGCTTCAGAGGAAGGCAAGGATGCTTTAGGGTTTAGGGTTTGGGCGAATGCTGACATTATTACTGAGATTGCTGCCATGATCGTTTCTTGTTTCTGACAAGTTTTGACAGCATTACAAGTACCACCGCGCAGACCTACTGGCAGGGTTTGTGCTGGGAGCGAGGGGTTTGGAGCATTGGGGCATTGGGTCGAGAGCATGGGGATTGAAGATTGAGATCTTCTGAGTTTTGCTGAGGGTTCAGGGCTAAGCAGTTGAAGGTGAGTCTCTGATCCTGCTTAACGGCTGTCAGGCCGATAAGGCTCTCGATGTTGCTGTTGCTGGGCCTCAGCATTCTGTTCCAACCGTTGCTGCGATGGCTGTGATCTGTGCCCACTGCCGTAAACCCTAAACCCTAAACCCTAAACCCTAAACCCTAAACCCTAAACCCTAAACCCTACACTCTGCTTGCGTTGGCTCCATTGCATCGTTCCGGCCGCACGAGAATGGCTGCCTCTCTTTGCGCAATAGCTGAATAGCTGACCGTGCTCTCTACCATTCACTGTAGCCCGCGCTTCTGCTCATTCCTCAAATCGCAACAATCCCAACTCCAGAAACTCAGAATTCTATACCCCGAAGCCCCAACCAGGAGGATAAACTGTGATCCGTGGAACCTCCAGAAAGCTTGTTGAGCAAAAAAAGCCTGAACCCTAAACCCTAAACCCGAAACCCATAACTAGCCCGTGAACCTCCCAGTACGCCCCTCGCAAGATGCCAGGCGCCGCGCCAGAGAGCCCGTGGAGCCCGCAAGCACCGCACAGCAGCGGGCTTGAGGGGTTCAGGGGTTTCGGCGCTGAGAAGGCTGACAGGGTTTAGGGTTTAGGGTTTCAGGGTTTAGGGTTTAGGGTTTAGAGTGCTCTTGAAGTTTAGGGTTTCAGGGTTGAAGGCGTAGCGGGCGGAGCCCCTACATAGTTGAAGGTATGTTTCTTGTGCATACCGGATGCTTTAGGGCCCGTTTCCTTCGTTAAGTTATGAAAGACATCTGGTCCTGCGGGCGGGCGTGATTCACTTCCCATATAGTTAGTTCAAGACGATTGTTTGGAAACTTTCTATCCTCGCTAAGGCCCAGTGGAAGTGCTCACTGCTGCGCCACTTCTGGCGATCCACCAGAAGTTGCTCGAAGCAAAGTTGTTCCTTGGCGTCTCGGAACTTGCATAGGTCTAGGCAGGACCCAGAGTAGACGCTTATTCCCTTCTTTAGGGTTTTGGGTTCTCTTATAACCCCCTTTAAACCAAAAAGGGCACCCTTTTTGTTCCTAGGTTACTCCTGGGTCTAGTAGATCGCCGAGTGCGGGGACTGCGGGGAGACTTCCCAGATGTACCATGTTGGAAGGCAGCAGTCACAGTGATTGCAGTGCTTCATCGTTGCCACATGGTTTTTTCTTTCCGCACAGGATTTTTTCTTTCCGCACAGGAATCCGCTTGACTACTTCAAGCAGCTGGATCAGGATGGTGATGGCCGATTGACACCTGACGATCCTTAGCTGCCTGAGCTGCGAAGCTGATGGGAAATCGGGTCAGGGTTGCCATACTTGGAGGTTCATGAAAGGTTGTAAGTAGGCTTATAAGCACCCTAAATGGGGTTATATAGCTGTTCATGTCACGGTACCCCGAGCCCACCTTCGAGTCGGCGAAGCTTGGAACTTCATCATTTTGCTTAAGTTCGCGTCCATCGCGTCTGGAAAACATAGCCTTCGTCTGCTCCTTTTTGTTGAACATGGCCCTTGAGAAGAATGCAGCCTATTTGCAGCCCACCTCAGTTGTCCGAAAGCCTGCATCTGCATCTGTGTCTCTTTCCGTTCCGAGGCACCTAGAGCTGGCCAGAACACAACCACCAGCCCACCCCAACCCCCCCCCCCCGCCCCTCCCCTGGCCCCCCCCCCCCCCCCCCTAACCCCCCCCCCTAAACCCTAAACCCAACCCCAACCCTAAACCCCCCTTCTCCCCCCCCCCCCCCCCCCCCCCCCCCCCCACCCCCTACCCTACCCCCGACTGGCAGGAACTGCGGAAGTGCTTGCAGAGCCTGGGGCTCCTTGGCATGGGATCTGCTGGGGCTAGGAGGTTTCCATATCCCCCTTTGGTAATTATATTTTATTTTCTGTTCATATAAAACCCAACATTAAAGATTAATATTTTTATCAAGGTCTTAAGGGGAGTATAGGTTTCTGCAAACCTCATATCTCCAAACTAGGAATCCCCCCAAGAAGCACCTCACCAGAAACAAGCCTGACCCTAAGCCCTAATCTTGGGAGGCTCCCCCTTATACTCGCAGTCCTTAATAGGGACTACAGTACCCCCGATTAAAATCCTGATTAAGGACTGTTAGAAAAAGGGGGAACATCTAAACCCTAAACCCTAACCCAGGGTTCCCCAGACATGTCCTGAGGCATCGGCCTAGTCCCGACGAGCTTCGCCAGCTTCTCGCGAGGCATGGCCTTTTGGGGCGAGCAGCTGCTGAAGTGGGGTGTAAGGTTTAGGATTTCGGTTTAGGGTTTAGGGTTTAGGGTTTAGAAGCCTTAGATTGGTATCCTGCAGGATTGCTTCAAAATTCGGCCAGATGTGGCTCCCAGCTGAACGAGCAGAGTTTGGGTTCAATGGTTTGTTTAGTTTTGGGGTTTAGGGTTTAGGGTTTAGGGTTTAGGGTTTAGGGTTTAGGGTTTAGGGCTTAGGGCTTAGGGGTTTAGGCGTCTACAGGCCCTGAACCCTGCACCCTCAACTCCCCCCTACCAAACCGAGAAGACCAACACCAAGACCTTGAACCCTCAATCCCTTAGTGGCTGAGTGAGCACACTTTACACTTTTTGGGATACTATAATCCCCCATATAACTGAAAGTGTACACTTTTTTGAGGGCTTATGAACCCTAAACCCAAAACACGAAGATCCCAAAGCTGGCTTTGGAAGGCTGGACCCTGAGAGAACCGGCAGCGTGGAGATTGCCGCGCTCTACCACGCAGTGCTCCATCTCAAATAAAGGTACCTACCAACAGGTACACAGAGACAAAGGTCTTAAACAAAATTGGAAAAAGACACAGAGAGAGAGAGAGAGAGAGAGAAAATCAAAGAGAGAAGAGCGCCAAGTTGAATGAAGAGCTTGGACCTTGGGAAAGTTTACGGGTCCATTGTCGGTTTTTGGAAAATGCTGGTCAGCGCTCTGGGGAATGGAAGAGAAAAGCGCTCGGTGAGCCTGATTTTGACTTCAGAGGTTTAGGATTTAGGGTTTAGGGCTTCGGGTCTAGGGACTAGCTCACCAAATCCCGCGACCCGAAGCCCTAAACCCTATACCCCAAACTCCTGGGCTTGTGTTTTCATCCCTGGAGGCCCTAAGGAATATCCGAGGAATTCAGAAGGGGCTCGTGGCATCCTTTCAACCATGCAAAGGCCATGTGGAGCGGCCGCTAGCCGGGTGGCCTAAACCTTAAAGCTGGGATGTTCTCCCTTAAACTAGCAGTCCTTAATGCAGATTAAAGTACCCCCCATTGATCATCATTATAAAGGACTGCTAGTATAAAGGGGAACATCCCAGCCCAAAACTCTGGTATGAAGTGTTTGTTTGTGGTCAGTTGCTGTGCCCCCCCCCCCCCCTAAGCCTTACACACCCTACCTATACCCTAAACCCTATACTCATATACGTGCCCTAATACCCTAAACCTTAAACCCCTAAAACCCTAAACCCTAAACCCTAAGCCCTAGTACCCTAAACCCTGACCTCCACAGGTGCAACTGGAGGCCGCCGAGCACGAGGCGAAGCTGAGGTGCATCTCTTCGTGGTCGATGAGCCTCCCTCCTCCTACTCTTTGCTTCAGAACCCCAAAACACAGACAATGATCGCAATATCTCAGGCTTGAGGGATGCGCCGGAAGGTTGACTGGAAGGGGGAGGATTCTGGGAATGTTGGGGTAAGCTGTCGGACCTTGGCAAGTCTTTCTTCCAGCCGGTTAAGTGTGGGCCTGAAAGTGTGGGCCTGAAACGTTTTAGCCTTTCTAAGCCCCAGAGCCCTAGAGCCCCGAACTGGTTATTTCAGGCTCTTGCACTTGTCTTTTTGATACCAAAGCCTCCCCACCCTAAACCATAAACAAAAACAAGACCCTAAACCCTAAACCCGCTTTGGGCCCTGCGAAGCCCTCGAGGCAGGAACTCGAGCGAGCGATGCGTCGGGCGACCGGTTCCGCAGCTGGAGTTGGAAGCACTGCTTTTCCCTTTGCCTGACTATCATCTTATACGCATAACAAATATTAATATTAATAGTAGTAAATACTGATACTAATGATACTAACAATAAGAATAGAAATTATGTATTTGTATTATTCTTATTATTATTATTATTATTATTTTCATATATATATATTTATTTATTTATTTATTTTTATTTGTTTGTTATATGTACATACATATATACAGATATACATATATATATATATATATGTATTTGTCGTATGTGGCATTTTTCTCCCTTCCCCATCCTCTGCTCCGCGAAACAGGGGGCCTTGGGGTCGACTCCGGCCGAACCCTAAACCCTTAACCCTAAGCCCTACGCCCTAAACCCTAAACCAAACCATTTGGGGTTTCGGAACCCTAAGCCCTCCATATTCAGGGCTTATGGCCTAGGGTTTAGGGTGCCAAAGTGGCCCGAAAACTACGGGCCAAGCACAAGAAGGACCGACATCCCTGGGTACCGCTGCGCCGCTTAAGTTGAGTGTTCATGCCTCATGGGCCGCAGCCGTAGCAAAACCATGCACCTGTCCTCAACCTCAATTCTATGCATATATATATATTTATGTACATATCTGTCTACATATAAAGTATAATACAGTATCATTCTAATACAACAGATTGTATTGCGTTATATATATATATACACACACACATATTTTTTTTGGGGGGGGGGGGTACCATATATGCTACCCCCCCCCCCCCCCCCTCCAAAACCCCACGTTTAAGAAAAAAGATCGGCGAGCATCGATGTTTCCTATGACAGGCTTCGACATGATGCATTTGAATACCTACATTGTGAAAATCATGAAAGGGGGGGGGGGCTTTAATCTATTTAAACCGGGTGGGAGAATTGAATAGTTAAAATAATGAAAATAATTAACTAAATTAGTTAAGTAAATTAATTAAGCTAATTGAATTAATGAGATTTTAAATACTTTAAATCCTGAAAGGCAGGGGGGGCAGCTCTTTCCTTCTGAGGGGATTTCAATTCTTCAAATATGAAGCCCCTATTGAAACATGAAGGCCCCTTCAGATATCAATTTTCTCTTCTTTTTTTTAACTTCCCCTTCGCGGGAGGGGGCCAGGCCCCCCCCCCCCCCCCTATCAGGATTTGTTAAACTATTTAAAATATTAGAAAGATGTAAGTTTTTAAATGATTTAATTAAATACTGTCCCCCGAATTAGATAATTTAAGTATGAAGGCCTCTATTTATATATGAAGGCCCCTCCATACTTACTTTAATTCTCTTCCCCGAATTAAGTAATGTAAACATGAAGGCCCTTCCACATTTAAATTATTTACTTTGGGGGAGGAGGGGGAGAATCAAATAATCAAAAGTCTGAATAGTTTAAATACATTAACTCTTAAGAAATGAAGGGGGGGAGCTCCCCCCCTTCTGGAGGGAATGAAACAGCTTATTTTTCTTTATATGAAGATCCTTATTTAAATGTGAAGGCAACTTCAGATTTAAATGATTGAATTCCCCGGGTGGGAGGGGGCCAGGCCCCCCTTTTAGGACAATACTTTAAACACATTAACGTAAATAAGTTAAATAATTTAAATCCTGAAAGGGGGGAGGGCGGAGGGGGGGGGGGGGGGGGGGGGGGGGGGGGGGGGGGGGCTCTCTGCTTCTGCGGGGAGTTAGATAAGTTAAATATGTAAAAATGAAGGGCCCCCTTCACATGAAATTGCATACACTCGGTGAATATTTCAACACGAAGGCCCCTAGTTAAATATGAAGACCCTTCCATATTTACATTATTTAGTTCAGGGGGGGAGAATTTATATGTTAAATTGAAGGGGGGGGGGCTCCTTCCTTCTGGGGGGAAACAAAAAACTACACAATTTACATATGAGGCCCCTATTTAAATCTGAAGGCCCCCCCCTCAGATTTAAATTTGTTCATTATTTAACTCTCCTTGCTGGAAGGGACCGGGGCCCTTTTTCAGGATTTAGGTTATGTAGATTATTAAACTATCTATATATATATGTTTAAGTGGCATTTAAGTCCCTCCCGAATTCAAAAATTTAAATATTAAGGCCTCTATTTGAATATGAAGGCTCCTCTATTTCTTACAATATTTAGATGACCTAATTCTCCTCCCCGAATTACATAGTCTAAGTACGAAGGCCCCTATTGAAATAGCAGATTTCTGAGGTCACCAGATGATTTGATCTGTGACATAGAGGCAAATCTGCGATTTCAAATGTGTGAATCTGCGTTCTCGAGAAAAACACAGATTTCAAATCTGCGAATCTGCGTTTTCGAGAAAAACGCAGATTTCAAATCTGCGAATCTGCGTTTTCTCGAGGAAACGCAGATTCGCAGATTTGCAGATTGGTTGGGGGCTACAAATCTGCGAATCTGCGAATCTGCGTTTTCTCGAGGAAATGCAGATTCGCAGATTTGCAGATTGGTTGGGGCTGCAAATCTGCGAATCTGCGTTTTCTCGAGAAAAACGCAGATTCGCAGATTTGCAGATTGGTTGGGGGCTACAAATCTGCGAATCTGCGTTTTCTCGAGGTTTCGCAGATTCGCAGATTGGTTGGGGCTACAAGTCTGCGAATCTGCGAATTGGTGACCTGAGACGTGGGGTTTTGGGGGGGGGGGGGGGTACCATATATATATATATATATATGTACATGTTACGGAAAATAAACATAGTTATCTTCTATGCTAAGGTTTCGATGGACAGGATGAGGAAGCGATGCGAGTGAGGCTTGACTCTTTTTGCTGGTATCCTGCCCAGAAGCACTCAAGTCCTCTTTCCTACGCAGTTCTTGAAGCTTGAACGAAGGGCTGTAACGTGGTATCCTTGTAACCCGTTTTGGGGTACCTATAGCTCTACTTAGAATTATTCACGAAACTCCAAGTGCTTGTGCAGTTGCTGTTGGTTTTGTGCTCGGCGTGTTTGCTCTCAATTAGGTCCCCGAGCCGGTTCTTAGCCCAACTGCTTGGCTTGCGAGGTCTCCGGAAGTCTCCTCCGCAGCACTCCGCGCGCTGGTGTTGAAGATGGAGGTCACCGCTGACACGCTGCACTGTTTCGGGGGGGTTGCGTGTCTCTTGGGGTTCTTGGTCCAGCTTTGCAAGGCGGAGCTTCAAAAGCCCTAAACCCTAAACCCTAAACCCCAAACCCTAAACCCTAAACCCTAAACCCTAAAAACCAGTATCTCGAGCTGTCGCATCCTTTGAGCTGCCAGTGAGGCGACACAGATGCGCGTCGGCGAACTGCCACCTGGCTCCTGATCAGTGTGCTTGAGGGAGTCCAAGTCGCTTCTTTCTAGGGATGTGGGGGTTTAGGGTTTAGGGTTTAGTGTTTAGGGTTTAGGGTTTAGAAACGAGTCTGTCGACCCTACCGCCGGACCCTGTGATTCAAGCCTGTTGTAATAGCTCGTAGTGGCTCTTGTCGAGCCTGGCCGGAAAGTAACAAAGAATGAACCAAAAACCCCCCTTTAGTTGATGGTAGGGCCTCCCATCTAGCCCGTGCTCGCATTGTCGCATCATTGAGTCATGAATGCGCCCCACCGTGCGGAACACCGCGCCGTGAATTCGGCCTGCTGCTCTTTCTACGAAGATGAGCACAGGCGCATGCATCTACTCGCAAAGTCAGCTTTGCGTGTCATACGCTACAATTGCTACTACACATCCTACCAGCATATGTGAACCCTGAACCCTAAGCTTTCATTTGGTGAGCTAGTTTTGCTTCTTCGTTAATTATTTATTTATTCTTGAAAAGCAACACCACCACCAAAAGCAGCGCAAAGAAGCTGAGTCCATCGTCCCGAAGGTTCCGCAAGTTCGACGTGGATGGGGACGGCTTCTGGTCGCTTTCAGAGCTGGGCACCCTGGCATGGTCCTGCACCCCCTAAGCCCCCAAACTTCCTAAAACCCTGCAGCCTAAACCCTAAACCCTGAACCCTAAACCCTAAACCCTAAACCCTAAACCCTAAACCCTAAACTTCCTCAACCCTTTTGCGTTGTGAGGGGGGATTTTCCAGCCCGCCTCGGGTGGCGACGTCTGGTGTGTCATGTCCATGCTGGTGAAAATGGTTTCGGGTTTGGGGTTAGGGTTTAGGGTTTAGGGTTTGGGGTTTAGGGTTTAGGTGTTAGGGTTTAGGGTTTGAGGTCTATGGTTTACGGTCTCGGTCCCTTTGCTGGCGTGACGGTCGTCCCCCCTGGCGGTTTTGGCGGGTGGCAAGAAACCTCCCTCGTTTATCAGGCTTTGCCGGGCCTGAAACCCTGTAAGCCTTAAAACTAAGATGCCGATCCCCCCTGAGTCGGTTATCCAACCTCGCCTGCATGTTCATGTGTTCGCGGGCCAATGCTACAATGATTGGCCCAAAGCCGTGTGGGCTAACCCAATCGCAAGTGCAAACTGATTGGGTCAATGGGATAGCCACATCATACAGCCCGAAGTCAACGCGTTCTCAGGGCCAAAAGGATTGGTCTAATGAGCTGATGGCTTGGTTTCATGAGGGCCATGCAACCCCTGAAGCCTGGGTGCACAAGCAGTTGCCGGATTCAATAAACACCTCACAGTCCTGGCATGTTACTCTTTTCTCCAATCGGCCAAAACCAATGACATAGGGCCAAAATGATTGAGGGAATGGTTTGATGCGTCAGCCAAATAAGCTGGCCAACATCAGCGCACCACACAACTTGACAAGTTTCGAAGGAGAACCGCTGAAAGCCCAGGCGAGGCCGTGTCCTTTGCGGGTCATGCAGCATCTCCCAGAGACTTGCGTGACTTGATGGATCTGATACTCGGCGGGGGTGCTGGGTGGGCTGTATGGCCTTGGCTTGGGCTTTCAGCATTGCGCGGTCCATGGTAAAGAGAATAATAAAAGGGTCGGCATAATTACTAATAATGTCCCCTCATGGTCCCTTTACGTTTATAGTACAATAACCCCAAAACCCTGTTCTAGTTATTAAGGCTCCTACAGTATCTTACAACAAGACTCGGGTTGCAAAGTTGAAGGTGCTCTTCTCATTAGCCGCATGTTGCAAAAACCTGAGAAGCTGCGCGCTGACGGCAGCTGCTAAACCCTAAACCCCGAAACCCTAAACCCTACAATGTGTCGGCTGTGCCTCAGGATGGACCTGGACCTTAATGGCTTCGTGGCCACGGGCTGAGCAGCTCCTGGCTTTTTTTTCGAGAAGTTTCCCAAAGAGGGCGCACCACCCAATCTGTCTGTGTTGGCATGCCCACCAAGCGGCCTAGAAGCGAACTCAATGAGCTTGAACGCCCAGCTTCCAATCCCACAGCCGCTTGTCAAGAATCCCTCGGCCCCGGAACCCCTTGCCCTAATCCCCAAACTCTCCGAACACGAGGCCGGCCCGGAACCTACAAACACCAGAAGCCGCCGCGCAACCGGGGGGAAGCCTCTTCAACCCCCACCAACCCCTAAACCCCAAACCACCCTATCGTTGAATCCAAGGAACCTTGAACCCTAAATCCTAAACCCTAAACCCCAAACCCCGAACCCCAAACCCTAAACCTTAAACGCCTGGAACCAGCAAGAGCTCCCAGGACTTGAAGGAGCTCTTGAGAGCTTTGCGCCGCGGAGGCCTCGAAGCAGGTGCAGGGTGTATGGGGCTTTGGGGTTAATAGGGTTTAGGGGGTTTAGGGGGTTTAGGGGGTTTAGGGGGTTTAAGGGGTTTAGGGGGTTTAGGGGGTTTAGGGTTTAGGGAGGGTTTATAGGCTTTAGGGTTCAGGTTTGAGGAGTTACATGTGTGCCGGCAGTCTCAAAGTCCGTTGCTCAAACAGGTTTGAGGGTTTACATGTGCCCGCGTTCCGCGTAATCGACCGCCCCCCCCCGGGAAGGAGGGGGGCGGAGGACGGTGGGGGGGTGCGGCTATGCTGGCTCATATAGGGCTTTGGGGTTTAGGGTTTATAGGGTTTGTAGGTCTTATAGGGCTTATAGGGCTTCTAGGGCTTATAGGGCTTATAGGGCTTTAGGGTTTAGGGTTTATAGGGTTTTAGGGGTCAGGGTTTAGGGAGGGTTTATTTCGGGCATATGGCGTTTAGGGCCGAGGGTCTTGGTCCCAGCTGAGTCTGGATTCAGCAAAAGGGCCGAGGGTTTCAGGTTTTGAGAGCATTTAGGCATAAGGTTCTGTTTTGCAGCGCCTCTTTGTTTCAAGCACCAATCAGCAGCAATCTCTCAACTTGCACTTTCGGGCTGCCGTATGCTCAAGGCATCCCGGCGGTCAGAGTGTAGGCTTCCCATGCACAGAGATCGCGCAGATGGCCCAAGCCATGCAGGTTACGGAGAGCTCATGGAACCGTGAGTTGAGAAAAGTCCGGCGGTTGCGACAAGCTCATGCCCGACAGCAGGACAAGATGTTGATATGCAGCCTCAAAGAGCGGGTTTTGCACCTCGAACTTGAACTTCAACAGGTTAAGAGCCTTGTGGCTCACGCTGAGACAGGGGTGGTGGGCAATGGCGACATAGACAGCGTGAGATTGAATGTTGGACGAGAACGAGGTGTGCCGGGGGGAGGCAGGAGGACACTCCAGATGATGGATTATGAACATACGCAAGCAATCGCTCCGGAATCAGTCGCTTGCCGAGGTACACCTGCATCACAAGAGTCAGCCGTTCTGAAGCGAAAGCAAGCCGAAGCACCTTCGGTACGGAGCTCTGGGGTTCAGACTGTGACGCAGGATGTCCGCCGACATGGTCAGACGTACCTGGTGCAACCTCTGCGTGATAACCTGTGGACATGGAAGGAAGCCGCGATGTCACTGACGGAAGCATCATCTCCATTCCTCGAGAGCTTTTACTACAACATGTATGGAGACGGATGGGACGGTAGCGCAAGACAGCACGGCGAGTTCTACATAGGATCCGATAGTGATAGTGAGGAACAAGAAGGCCTTTCGATGGAAAGATCTGAGGCCAGCGCCAGCGCTGGTGGCTAGGGCGGCGAGAGCTGATGATGCACTGCAAGTGATTTCGCAGGCCTCGCCCTGCGGTCTGCGAAACGGGGGGTGTTTTGCAGCGCCTCTTTGTTTCAAGCACCAATCAGCAGCAATCTCTCAACTTGCACTTTCGGGCTGCCGTATGCTCAAGGCATCCCGGCGGTCAGAGTGTAGGCTTCCCATGCACAGAGATCGCGCAGATGGCCCAAGCCATGCAGGTTACGGAGAGCTCATGGAACCGTGAGTTGAGAAAAGTCCGGCGGTTGCGACAAGCTCATGCCCGACAGCAGGACAAGATGTTGATATGCAGCCTCAAAGAGCGGGTTTTACACCTCGAACTTGAACTTCAACAGGTTCTAGGGTCTAGGCGGATCTTAAGCTGAGGCAAGAAGCCTCGAGCGAGAGTGAGAATCGAAACCCCAAAACCCTGAAATCCCTTTTAAAAAACCTCAACCCTGAAACCATAAAGTCCTAAAACTAAACTAAGACTAAAGAAATCCTGAAACCCTTACAGCCCGGAGTTCTGTAGCCACCCCACGGCCTGAACCCCTAGAACCCCCAAACACTGTAAACCCCTAAACCCCGGTAAACCCCCACACCCCTAGAAACCCCCATAAGCCCCTATAACCCTAAACCCCTCAACCCCAATAAACCCTCAACCCCATCATGGTTCTCTATATCCATCACATGATTCCGAATGAAGATAAATTCGAGAGATGGACGAATTCAATATTATTATGCATTCTTACCTCGTGACATATTTCTACCAAATGAATTAGAGGATCTATATACAAGAGGAGAGGGGAGAGGAGAGAGGAGAGAGAGGGGAGAGAGGAGAGAGAGGAGAGAGAGGAGAG